CACTGAACGCCCCCTCTCGTCGAAGGACAAGGTCTCGGCCGCTCGGGTACCCCCTCCTCATCCCCGCCCCGCAGCCCTGTCTTTTGTTTTTCGGGGCTCATCTGGCGAGCTTTTGTGGCGCCCTCAATGGGCTAAAGCCGGAACACCGCACCGGGGTGCCCGGGATGGGGCGGACGGGGGCGCTCCGCAGGGGCGTTCCGCGGGGGTCTGGTGGCTGCTGGCGTCATTATATTATGTCCTGTGGGCGCGAAAAGGAGAGATTTACATTTTATTTCGTCGGGCTCGTCTCTCGGTCAGAGGCCCGGCCCGGGCAGGCCGCCGGTGCTCCAGCTGCCGTTGCTGGCTGCGACTGCAGACACCATTTCTCGCACAGTTGTGATAGATTTTTCTGCCTCGCCCCTCACACTTTTTCTCTCTCTTTTTCCCCCTCTTCTTCTTCTTCTTGCTCGCTGGATGCCTTTATTGGCCCGCGTTAATAATTCATGTCCCGAACAGGAGAGCTGAGATTGGCGCCGGTGTAAGGGGCAGCGTGGGGGCGGACCGGAAGGGCGCCGGTGAACAGATAGGAGAGCGGAGGGAACGGTTTTTAACCGGTATTTTGGCTGCGGCCTGGTGGCGGGTTTGGGGCGGAGCCTCGGGCGGAGAAGTTTCCCACGGACCCCTTTTCATGGACCTTCTGAACCGCGTATTTCACTATTAAAATCTTACCAACGAATATTGTCCTTTAAAGATCAGACATTGTCCTTACACCGAATTTCATAGATACGAACCTATTCTTTGCAAGCGTTTTCAGTGTATATGAAGGGACAATATACCGTTCATAACTATATTTTTTTTTACTTATTTATTTTTGTTTACGGAACCCGGTTTGTTTCTTTATCAGCAAACATATACAGGTGTGGAAAATGAGTCGTGGTGCGCTGCGCGCCTATCTGGCGGAGGACGCACGGCGGCAGAGAGTGGGGCTCGCGAAACAGACTAACTCCAGTTAAGTTTACAGGCTATTCCCCCGCGTTTGTTGCCAAGCAGGTGTTAGACAAAGTGAGAGAGCGAGAGAGACCCCGGAGCGACGACAAACTAACTACTGCACTTGCACGAGCCCGGGGCCCTGCCGTTTGCCTCCTCTTTCTAACTGCTCCCCTCCTTCTCACGCTCCTACCCCCAGTCCCTTCCCTTCTCCTCCCCCACCCCTTCCCTCTTCCTGCTCGCTTCCTCCTCCCACGGACGACTGGCGGCGCTGCTGCTCCATGATGAGCTTGTTAGTGACCGTATCCAGTACTAACTAATCTGCTCACGGAAAAAAAATCAGTGCTGGGTTTTCAACGGTTCCCAACAGCTATTTTCCTCTCCAGGCAGTTTTCTCAAAGCTAACTCCGTTTTTCAAGCAGTAGGCTGAGAGAGACAAGAGGGGCAGGGAGGGATGGAGAGGGCAAGGGCGTCCTTGGTCGTCGGGGCAAACATGTTTGCTAAAACCAGTGGCGGTTGATGGAAACTGTTTAAATCGCCTCAAAGTGCCCCGCTCCAGATTATCATTGTTGTCGCTGGAGGCGGTGGAGCGGGGCGGAGCGAGGCGCTGTAATGATGATGAAGGCCCTGCCCACGCCACGCCACGCCTTGCCCCTGCCCTCCTTGACCCGCTTCACGGATAGTTTGTCACACACAAAAGCGGAGGCGCGATGGCTAATCTCACGCGAAAAGTGTCGCTGCGAATGACGAACAAACGCGAGGAGATTTAAAGGCCGCGCCGTCCCAAGCGCCGTGCCGTGTCGCGCGGTGTTACCCCAGGCGTTCGGAACAGCCCCATACCGAGATTCGCCGACGAATAACGTGCAACCAACCAGTTTCGACAGACTGAAGGGTCGTTCGAGCGTTTCACGATGTGCTCTTGCACTGGAATGCACGCCACGCGCACCGAGCTTGAGTATACACACTAAATTGTTGAACTTTTTCACTCGCAGCTAACAAAAAATTCTGCAACTGCAATTCTTGTGCATGTTTTAATAAGCAATTTTAAACGAATTGTTTAGATTTAGATTTATTCCTAATTAAAGCCAAATATAAAACAATTTGTTCAAAATTGCTTATTCAAAATTAGGCAAAAAAAGAAAGTGCTGTTTTTTTTGTAAGCTGCACATAAAAAGTTCACAACAAATAAAAGTGTTTATCGACGGGAGGTTTAGATCATTTTTCTTTGAAAATTTGGGCCTTTGGCCACTCTCCTATATTAAGGCCTTACACTCTGCTATAAAAATCTAACTGAAGAACAAGATGTGTATTTAACAAAGTTAAAACTAATGTCTTGTTCTACAGGTACATGTAGAATTGCAGAGTATGTAGAACGTGCCCCACTGTAGGGGTAGAGGGCGAGCGCCCTGTCGCCCGACCGACCATACAAGAGAGTAAGTAAGTCAATAGGCTGCGTGGCTCTCTGCAGTCCAGCCGTGTG